CCATTCTCCTCTCGGGATCTTGGGCACGCACGCACACGCGCCCGGCATGAGTTTTAAGCCACCGGGTCCGGGACACGAACCGCGGTTGACTACGTGGGAGCCCAGCGACATAGCCATTACGCTAACTGCTGGTTCCCTAGTTTGCTTATTTTCTATTTCATTTATTTTTATCTTTGTCTTTTCTTATTTTATTATTTCATTTTATTTTATACATTTAATCACTATACAACACTTTGCTTGTAAGTTGAATTTACCCACCATGAATATGCTTCACACAAGTGCCGTTGAAGATACAAAAAACATAATCAACAGATAATAACCCATATCTATGTCCCATAGATGTCTTGTCTTTCTATTTTCCTCCTCAATTTCTTTTCTTACACTCTCTCCCTTCTCCTACTCTCTTCCCACATTGTCTCCAGTTTCTGTAACCATTTCTAATGTTTCTATGTCTTCTAATCTCTCAGTTTCCACCATCAAGTGCAGATAGTCAGTGTATTTTGCATAGAGACATACAATGTCTCTTTTTCATATCCTGGCTTACTTCACTCAGCAGTAAATCTTCCATATTATTCCATTTTCTATCAAATGTCAGGCTCTTGTGGCTTTTTGATGGCTGAGTAGTATGCCATAGAGTATATGTGACACACTTTTTCTTTTTAAAAAATTTTTATTCCTTTTTATTTCTATTTCTTTTATACATTTGATCACATTACTTAGCTTACAAAGTGAATATTCCAACATGTGTACCTTTCTTATCAGTCTAGTTCACCATACTAGAAAATTATCTTCAATAGATAATAATATGTTTCTTTGTTCCATAAATGCCTTACCTCTCTATTTTTTTTTTAATGTCCTACCTCAGATTCTACTCCTTCACCTGCCCTCTTCCCAGATTGTAACTGGTATTTACAACAATTTACTTAGTTTGTATACCTTTAGTCATTCATTTTTTTGCCCCATAGAGTGCCCCATAGACAATCAGTATATATTAAGTGGAGACATACAATGTCTCTCCTTCATAGCCTTGCTTGCTTCCCTCAGAAGTAAATCTTCCATATTCATCCACTTTCTGTCAAAAGTCAGGGTCTTGTTTTTTATGGCTAAGTAGTATTCCACAGAGTATATGTGCCACAGTTTTTCAATCCACTCATCTGTCCATGGGCATTTGGGTTGATTCCATGTCTTGGCAATTGTGAATAGTTCCACAATAAACATCAATGTGCAAGTACTTTTCCAAGTAAGAATTCTTCTGTCCTTTGAGTAGATAACAAGTGGGATTGATGGATCATATGGTAGTTCTATTTGTAGGTCTTTGAGGGATCTCCCAATTGTTCTCCAGAGTGGTTGGGCCAATTTACATTCCCACCATCAGTGTAGGAGAGTTCCCCTTTCACTCCACTCCTGCTACCACTTATCATTTTTTGTTTTTTCAATCTTAGTTATTTTTGACTGAGGTTAGGTAGTATCTCATTTTTGTTGATCTGCATTTCCCTTACAATAAGGGATGATGAGGATTTTTTCATATGCCTTTTGGCTATTTATATGTCTTCCTTAGAGAGTGGTTTTTTTCAACTCATTCTCCCATCTTTGAATAGGGTTAATCATCTTTTTTCAGCACAGCTGCTTGAGTTCCTGGCATATTCTGGTTATCAGTCCCTTATCTGATGCATAGTTTACAAAATAATTTCCCCATTCGGAGGACTGTTGATTCACACTAGTTACTGTGCCTTTTGCCATGCAGAAACTTTTTTTTTTTTTGCTATAGGGCATGTTTGTACTCACCAGAAAGATGGAGAGAAACAGAGAGACAGAAAGCAAGAAATCATCATAAGTAGAGCGAGAAGACAAACCTCAGAGTGGGAGAGTATATTTGCAAGTTATACCCCAGATAAGGGACTGATAACCAGAATATACAGGGAACTCAAGCAACTTCCCCACAAAAAAGTCCATCCACTTAAAAGATGGGAAAATGAACTGAACAAACAATTCTCTGGAGAAGACATACAAATGGCCCAAAAGCATATAAAAAGAAATACAAATCAAAACCACATGAGGGGATCAGCAGTTAGCGTGATGGCTGTGTCACTGAACTCCCACGTAGTTGACTGTGGTTTGAGTAACGGACCTGGTGGCTTAAACTCACACCAGGCACGTGTGCGTGCATGCCCAAGATCCCAAGAGGAGAATGGAAGAGAAGGGTTTGCCATCACCCCTCGGGGGTGATTTCTCGCTTTTTGTCTCTCTGTCTCTCTCTGTCTTTCTGGCGAGCACATACGCCCTATAGCAAAAAACCTCCCCTCCCCCCCAAAAAATTAAAAACAAAAACAAAGAAACAATGAGATACCACTTAACCCCAATCAGAATGGCTAAAATTTTAAAAATAAATAATGATAGGTGCAGGTGAGGCTGTAGTAAACGGGAACTTTCCTATCCTGTTGGTGGGAATATAAATTATTCCAGTGGACTTTGGAAAACAATATGGAGATTTGTTAGAAACCTACAAATAAACCTACCATATGAACCAGTAACTCCACTGTTAGGTATTTACTGAAAAGATTGGAAAACCCTCAGTCAGAAAATCACTTGCACATCCATGTATATTGCAGCATTATTTAAAATTGCTAGGACAGGGAATCAACCCAAATGTCCAAAAACAGATGATTATATTTAAAAATGTGGCATATGTACTCTATGGAATACTACTCAGCCATAAAAAACAATGAGACTCTTACATTTGATATTAAGTGGACAAATATGGAAGACTTAACACTAAGTGAAGCAAATCAGACTATGAAAAACAGGCTTTGTATGTCCTAATTCAATATATACTTGTCTGTGATCTATGACAGAAACTGAAAGTTTGAAAGGTGTAATAGTAGGGAGGGCAATGGTAGATACTAGAGATAGCAGGATATGTGTAATACAGGAGAGGGTAATTCAAGGAGGGAGGACAACAGGGGAAGAAAAAGGGAAAAAAAGTATGTTTAATTGACAAAACAATGAAAAACTATTTGCTGATGATGTATATAGTAATGTCTTTGTCTTGAGTGATATGCGTGTTATTCATTCTAGAAAAGAAAGAAATGTTTTACACTTCACATAATTGTGATTAAATCTAAAAAAAAATAAATAAGGGTATTACAAAATGAAAAAAATAAAGACTTAATTGAATGGAATTCCAGTTAGCCCATGTTCATCGATTTCTAATCCATGTTCATGGACTAGGAAAGTTAATTTTGTTAACATATCTACACAACATAATGTACAGACTCAATGCAGTCCTTATCAAAATTTCAATATGATCATTACACAAACAGGAAAAAAAAAACCTTTAAAATTTATATTAAATTAAACCACAAAAGACCCCAAATAGCCAAAGGAATCAAAGCTGGAGAAACACTATGTTTCAAAACACATTATTAAATCATAGTAATCAAAACATCATGGTACTTGATAAATGAAAACCCTGTTTGGTTTCAGTTCATTTTAATTATGACTTTCATATTTATCAACTGGGAATAAAATTTTCATTAAAACATTTCAGTATAATTCTTGTACTCACTTGGCTCACACAGGTCATTCTGTCCATTTTTACATAAAAAATTTTGGACAACACCACTGTTCACACCCACACACCCCCACGCACACCCAAAAAGAAAGAAAGAAAAAAGAAAAATATATATTATGTATTACTTTCTGATCCAGCAAATGTTGTGGAGGATAAGGCCACTATATCCCACATGACAGACTGTGGTTTGAGTCCTGGACCTGGGAGCTTGGAAAATAAAAGCAAAGGGATTGTGGTGCAGACATGCCTCTAGGGAGGCTCCTAAAGGTGCTTTCTCACTTTCTCTTTCTGTTTGTCTACTGTGAGCAGATCACACTCACCCTAAAGTAAAAGAAGAAAAAGAAAAAAATAGTTTCACTTTCTCAGAATTTCAGGTAAAATAGCAACATCTGGTCAGTCATATTCTTCCAGTCTCTGACACCTGATTTTTCCTCCAGCTTCATGCCAGGCCACTTACTGCTGAGTCATTGTGTTTTTCTTCTCATGTTCTTGATTAGTCATCACCCAGGCTTTTTTTTTTTTTTTTTTTTTGGAGAGATTTTCACTGTAGGGCGCGTGCGCTCGCCAAACAGACAGAGACATAGAGACAGAAAGCGAGAAATC